ACTTATGCACCTGTGTAGTTCTTTTCCAGGTGGGCATTTGGCTGTGGCTGATTACATGGTGAGTGTCTGAGTGAAGCTGTGCACCTGTACAGCTCTTTTCTAGGTGGGTCTGCTACTTAGGTGTGCCTAGGCCTCTGGGCTTGGGGTGGTACCCTGACTCAGATAAGCCTACTGCCAAGTTACTCTGGTCCACAAAGCTGCTCCTCGTGATCTGCATGCACTTACTGATGGTATGCTGAGCTGCTGGATGAATTTTTACTTTTTTCATAAAGTTCTATTTATAAAATATATAAAATATAAAATACTTTATTATTTGGGTATGCTATAGATGATATTGTAAAAATTGGTGTTCATGTTTGAAATACACAATTTTGTGAAATAAATAGAACAAATTTAGGAGCATGCTGGATTTCTTCTTTCCAAACAGGCACCTCTTCACTCCTTATGACTCATTTGCTTAAGGAGGCCATCTGAATACAATGAAAAGGGAAGGGAGGATGAAACAGAATGAAATGGTAATCCCCAACATTAACTCACATATAATCTGAGGATATGCATTAGCGGACCTTCTTGACAATCCTGTGTTGTTCCCCCACTGTTTGACTGGGGGAAATGAGGCTAAAAGAGGCAAAGGGACACCCTAGTGAGTGACAAGAGAGGAGTTAGGTCTAGTGTTATTTACTTCTGTGCTCAAGGTTTTCACTGCTGCTTTTATAACTTTTCAGGAAGAGCAGCAGTAAAGAAGAACTAAGTGAGATAGAAGACAGAGCCAGTGAAAGAGAAAGAGAAGCAGCTTTGGGAGCCCAGTGTCAACTTTCTGGTTGTGGGAGCAGCACCCAGTTGGGTGGGAGGGGTTTTTCATATTGAAGGAGTCTGAGGGGTTGACAGTGGGAGCTGATGGGATATATCCAAGCCCTCCATTCCCACCCTGGGACAGGGGATCGAACTCAGGACCTTGCACTTTCAAGGTCAGCATGGCACCACTGAGCTAAATCCTATGCCCCAAGACTTGTTTTTTTTTCCCTCTCTTCCATTGTCCCTTTTCATTGTGAAATTTCCGAGACCTGCCACTTTTATTACAGCAAATATCACTACGATGAAAAAAAAATGTTTAAAATTACCTATTTTAAAAAATAATATTTCTCATGCACACATTTTTTTCGAAATTCCTGAGCACATCAAGCATTTGAGCAGTATGCTGAAATTCACAAAATAAGCAATTTTGGCCAGGTTATTGTTTCCTCTTGTTGGAAGCTGGCCTGAAGTGTGTAGGATTTCAAAGTAAAGGAGGAGAGAAGTGAACAGCCTCTCAGGTCCTTGACGGAATTACCATGGTCCAGGACCCTTTCCCATCATTGTTTATGTCAGAATTCATTTTTCGGCAGTTTTTCCATGAGAGTTCAATCTTTTTTCTTTAAGTCCAAAAGCAGCCTAGATATCCATCAACAGATGAATGGATAAAAAAAATGTGGTGTAAATATACAAAGTGGAATATTATTTAGCCATTAAGAAGAATAGAGTTATTTCATTTGCAGGAAAATAGATGGATCTTGAGAGTATAATGTTAAGTGAAATAAATCAGACACAGAAAGTAAAATATTATAGGGTTTCTTTTATATGAGAATCTCAAAATATAAAAATGTAAATGATCCGGGTGTGGTGGCGCATGCCTATAATCCCAGCACTTGGGAGGATGAGGCAGGAGGATCACTGTGAGTTTGAGACCAGCCTGGGCTACATAGTGAGTTTCAGGTCAGTCTCAACTACATAGTGAGACCCTGTCTCAAAATAGCCAAAAAAAAAAAAATGTAAATGAAAGTGTTTAATAATTTCTAATTGGATTTACCGTGATGAGTCATTTGATTCATTCATTTCAACAAGGAGTGACTGAGCACCTTCAATGCCGGATATTCTCCTTCAAACTCTACAGAACTTTGGCCCCCTTCTCACCAGCTCTGCCCCCCACCCCCAGTAGGTGGTAGCCTTCATGAACTCTTCTACTCCTCTGACTTTTCTTAGAGTACCCCATTAGTAGAAGGCACCAACAGGAGGGGAAGTATGCAGGAGGAGAGTGAAATAGGGTTATGCATTCCCTGGCCAGAGGTATCTATGGCCTAGAGGCCATAACCTGCCTGAAGCTTATTTTCTACTTCCGTAAGTTAAATGTTACTGCAACACCACCACACCCCATCTATTCAGGTACTGTCTATCTGCTGTCACACTCCCATCATCAGAGTTTGGTAATAGTGACAAAGATGATATAGACTGCAAAGCCTTAAATATTTATTTTCTGATCCTTCATGGGAAAATGCTTGTTAGCTCCTGCCTTAGAGAGGTCCCTCTTTCGGCAGGGACAGTGGTTCCTTAGGCAGTTTCATCCCTGCCCCAAACACTGCTTTAGAGTGCCACTCCCTATTGCTATAGCTGCACCATGTTAGAATGGAACTCTGGTCCTTGCGCTTGCAAGGTAGGCAGCAGAACCACTGAGCTAAATCCCCAGCCCCATTCGAAGTTTCTGAACCATCTGTTCCTCTGGCTCTGTTCAAGCCTGTGGATAATTAGCGCTGTTGCTTGTGCCATAACATGCCAGAAATCTTGCTCCCTTCTTTAGCTTTTGCACGCAGTTTGGCCTTTCATGCCTTCTAATTTATTCAGTTAGATTTTACCACCTCTGTCACCCTGACACCCTGTCTAACCTACTATATGGGTGGTATTGTAGTGAAGACATGAGGAAAAGAAGCAATAGCAGGTGAGGGGTGCAGACAAGATAAGTAACTATCCCATAAAGACAGCTGTGATAAGTACAGTAAGAAAGATACATGAAAGAGAGAAGGTTCACAGAGAAGTTTTCATCAGTGATGTGCAATTTGAGCTGAGCCTTAAAAGATGAATTAGTTTTAGAGAAGAAATTATTTTTCTGAATTAGAATTACAGATAAGTGTACATACAAAATCAGATCTTAAGGGAGAAATAAATGATAATTTCCAGGGTTTTTGGCACTGTGTTGAATGCTTTGGCTATCATGATGTTTTGTACTCCTAAAGACTCCATGAAGGAGTTCCTATCATTACCCTATTAATGTACAAGAGAACCGAGGCTTTCTTAGAAAATTGAATTGCCTGTGATAACGACTCTGTGGGAGAAGTTCGGATTCTTAAGTAGACCATTACATCTCAGGGAGAGAGTAAAGCATAACCTGTGTTTCATCGTTGGTTGAAACCTGGTTTTGATGCAGAAATGAAATGGACACAGTTGATTTTGGCCATATCTTGAAGCAACTAACTCTGTGTGAAGAATTTTGGACTATTTTTCTTGAGTAGCCTATTGACCCTGAAGCTTTTTGCTTAGACGATGAGAGATTAAAGTTTCATGCTTGAAGGAATCTGACCTAGGAGGCTAGGTGGTGCCTAAAAGGGGTTTGAAGTAGGGAGATGGTGGTTGGTTTTTAAAGGCCAGCATGAGCATGGGTAAAGTTGATAGGCAGAGAAAGAACTGAAGCAAACATGGTTTTAGTCTGGTGAAAGATTGAGTAGGAAGGTGGTGACATTAGTCACAGAGCTGGGAAACACTGGATGAAAGGAAGGCTTCATTGACTTATTGATTGATTTTGGCATTCACAGGGAGTTACTTGGGCAGAACCTGAGAAAGGGGGCCCTATACCCGTGAAGAAAGTGCTGGGCCTCTTGGTGAAATGTAGTTTATGTTTGCAAAGTGTAATTCAGTGGGGCAGGTGGGAACTTGGATTTGTTGACCCCTGGCCAGTGAAACTTGCATCTCCATCTTCAGGACCTGAGTCTAGTGGGCCCGGGCAGGGTGCCAAGCAGTCACAATTGCCTGTAGCCTTACCATATACCACGGTCACGTCCTGACATTCTCAGTACGTGTTATGTTTGCCACTGTGGGAGTCTTCATACAGCCACATGCCAAAGTTTTTCACCCACAGGGAATTTCTTAAATACCTGCCTGTAACAGACAATTTTCCCTGAGGGCTCCTTGTCTTCTTTAGCTGAAGTATGAAGCACCAGAAGCAGGATTTGGTAACGACTTGATTCTTAGAGACAACTTCATTAGGTGCAATGATCCCTCAGAATTTCGAAGGGTGACTGGGGTTATTTGTGGACTGCAAGCAAAGCCACCCCACCTTGTACTGTCACAGTATATTGGAGACCTGCAAGGCCATCCACAGAAATCAGGGAGCCTGTGGAAGACTATTAGGAATTTGATAGCCGTGTGAAACTAATGATACAGAGAAAAGCTCCAACCTTACTTCCAGAGAAAATTCTAATTTTCTTTTCAATTGGAGACACAAGCAGAGTCTCAAGCGTGTTTTAGGCTCGCAAGTATTTGTTGATAGTACAGTTCAATAGACAGACATATCCGTGTCTGGTAGGAGAAAAGTGTAAGCGGTGGAGAAAGTTGCAAGCAGTGGAGGGCCATAATCTCACTTGGGGATCAGGAGAGTTTTCGCAAGGACTATCAGGGCTTTACAGGCACACGGGACTTTGACTACACACAGATGTCCATTTATTGAGTGCGGGTGGGTTACACTAGGTTGAATTTCTCAGATTCTCGCCTATCTGGCTTCTAAACTCTTGTGAGAATTGTCTCCGTCTTCATAGGCTTTTCAAACTGAAACTTCTCTGAAACGCGCACATCGTTAAACAAACTGAAGCTACGTGGCCTTGCAACTTTTTTCCAGGCGACATGAACATTTGTTTAGCAGATAGTGCCTAGACCCTTTGCGTCTTTTTTCATCCTCGTTGGCTTTCTGCCACGGGAGGTAACAAACCTGGTCCATAATGGTGCAGCGAGAACAGGATGCCCTCCGCCGAGTCGCGGGTCAGAGGTCTGAAAAGTTCTCGGACTCAAGAGGAAGAACAGGGGCTGGGCCTGACCCCGTACCTGGCCTCGCCGCCGATTGGCAGAAAAGAAGGTAGTTCCCGCAGGGCGCCCGCCGATTGGCTGAGGGAGGAGAGTCGTGACGTCAGCAGAAGTTGAGCAAGCACCTCCCCTTTCCCCGACCCCAGCCCCATTTAGGCTGGGAATTCGGAGCCTTCCCGTTCGGACGGGAACTCAGGGCCGGAAGGAGCCAGGGGGCGTCCCGAGCGGACGAGGTGAGGAGGGGGCCGTCGGAGGTCGAACCAGTGGCTGGCGAGGTGTAAGCCTGTGAGATGCGCTTTGGGATCGAGGACTGAGGCCAGCGGTCCGCCCGGGAGGTCCGGGGAGCGCGGCTTCCGGGTCCAGCGAGCGGGGAAGCCTCCCCGCAGGCCGGCGAGGAGGGCAGGCGCGCAGCTCTGCAGTTTCCGAACGAGAAGGGGGCGGGAGGGCGACTCTGATTTCCTTTCTTTCTTTTGGCGGGGGTGGTGCTGTTGCTGGGGGGATAAACGATCGGCGTTGAAGTTGCAGAATGCGCACCTCATTCGTGCCCGGACTGAATGCTTACTTAGGTTAACTGCGGCCGGAGTGGTGGTGGGGACTGCGAGGCTGTTCGCACCTCCTCCCCCGCCCCTCTGGCTTAGCCAGACTCCGCGGGTGAACTTCTCACGTCCGGCGGGGCGGAGAGCCCTCTGTGCGCAGGGATGTGCTGTCTTCTGGCTCCCGAGACCTTGGAGCGGCTGTGCCGGACGGCTTGAGCGCTCCCTCGAGGAGGGGGAGCAGGGAGAAACACTCGGTCGCCTACCCTGCTCGGTTGAATCAGGCTAAATGTCCAACTTCCAGAAAAGGACATGAAGTTTTGAGATACTGACTTCAGGGGAATGGGAGAGGAGCGTTGGAAGGGAGATAGAGACAGACAGAATATAAATTCAGTAAAATGAATAAGGACGAACAATTGTTGCTATTGTGGGTCGTCAGTTATTGGAATATGAGGAAGGTGTAACTGGGATTATGCCCACTATCTATACGTAGGGTTGCAGTGGTTTTCCAGCACTTTAACAAACACACACGCAATTCGACGACAAAGTGTCTGGCTTTGTGTATTTTCCTTCTTGCACTCTCTTCCTTCCTCTCCCCATGAAGATATTAGTAGGGCCACATGATTTTCTGGCGTTGTAGCTTAGTTGTCATTCTGCAAAGTGACTTAGAAGGACAAAGGTTGAAACCTATTTGCCCACTCATCGAGAAAGTTATACTTATTAATCTGTTTTATTGGTGAAAGTCTAATTTGAACTTTCTTTGCTGCTGAAAAAAAATTTTTTTTTTCTAACTGGTCCTTTAAAAATTAACAGGACTTTAGTTCAAGATTGCTGAAGTAATTCTTGGTACGTAAGCAGTTTCCATCTATCAGATTCATTCTCTCAAATTTTCTTTTATTAAATTTCTCACAAAAATAATACTATAAGCAGTGGTAAATTTTCTGGGTGAGGACACACATTTCATTAGGCAATTCACTGAATCATAGAAACACTATTTGGAATGGAATATAAGCAAAAAATATTACTATATTCATTGACTCTAAGATGCCATTGCTTGTAAACTGTGTCCCTATTTTAGAGATGTCATAATGTGAAAATATTCATCTTAAATTTGATGAAATACAGGGTTAAAGGGCACATCAATTTGTCTTGAAAGTCCATGTCTAAGAGTGAATTTGAGGAACAAGCTTACCAGGTCGTACTTTTTTTCCCTGAGAAAAATGCAAATATATGAGGTGTGTGTGGAGAGAGGGAGAGAGAGAGAGAGACAGAGAGAAAGAGAGAGAGGGAGAGGGCAACGGAGGGCGGTGTCTTCTGGTGGGATGACTGTGCTCACATTTGAGGAAAAGGCAGGCTTGGAGCCCTTTCCTTTTTTTTTTTTTTTTTTTTTTAACATTTATTGAGTGTTTATGGCATGCAAGGTTGGGTGCAGCACTGTATGCATATTAGTTCAATTAAACTTCACAACAACAGCTTTGATAGGTGGATGTTAATATGATTTTATTTTCCTGATGAGGCACAGACAGGTCAAGTTAAAGACCAAGGTCACAATGTAAGTTCAGGTGTCTTGGAAGCCAGGACATCTGTGAATGAGAAGAGCCAGTATTCCTTTGCCACATCCACCCTCTGTTGCAAGCTCTGGCTCCTGGTCAATCAATGCAGGTAGTGCAAGTAGCTTAGGTAAATGTCCATTGTGTCTTTGGTGTTTTGTTTTTCTGATGAGTGTACTTCAGTTAGACGTTCATAGCTAGAAGGCCTGTTTATGTCCTAAAGTTCAAATGTGTTTGTAATCCACAGAGCTCCATTACTACTAGACTCAGAATCAGACCGTTTGTTTTGACAGGGATTTTTGTATTGTATTTCAGCCTGGATGAGGAAACTAAGATCAAGAGGAGAAATCCGCAGCTAGTTCTGTGTCTTAGATCCCAAATCTGAGTTTTTCCAGCCATGCCATGTTATGTTTCATAACATTCACTGGCCTAGAAGATCTTGGTAGAGAACAGAGCTTTCTTTGGCAGCAGGAAGGGACTGTGAATTCCAGTTCTTATTCATTTTTCTGCTGCATAGGTCTTTATGATTTTTATTGAAATTTGCTCATTTATTTATTCATCCTTTAAAAATTTTAACTGATAATAAAAACATAAAAACTGTGCATATTATATATAAATGTATGTACATATCATGGGGGTTCAAAAGATGCAGGAAGGGGGAGGGTGAAGAGGGGAGGAGGTAAAAAAAAGAGTTAAGAAATGTCGTCTACTTATAACTTGCTCTGAGTTACTTATAAAAAAGAAAAACTAATACATATTTTCAAAATTAGATCAGCATAAATTTTGATATTGCTATTTAAAAGAATCCTATCATGAATAAAGATATATTTTACCAGGTAAATACAGTACTGTTACATATTTGGATTTTGTGTTTTAGATATAGACCTATTTTTAAATGAACAGGAACGTTATATAAAAAGTTACCCAGTATATAATAACCATAAAGCATAAAACTACTGATCTAAAGCTTGCTATGGTGCCAGAAGCTAAGTCCTCTACATATATCATCTCTTACAATTCTAAAAATTACGAGGTTGGTATTATGCCAAGTTTTCAAGCTATAACTGAATTTCAAAAAGTAACATTACATTGTCTGTAAATGGTGAATCTGGAATATGAACACGCTGTAGCTTGAAAGCAACCACTGCCCCCTAAAAAATCCTTAATATCCCTCAACTATTTTTCAAACCAGGAAAAAGTACATGATGACATCTAACATGTAATGACAGAGTAAGTCCTTGATTCATCACGCCAAAAATCTGCAAAGTTCATACAGAACCCATGATGAATGTAATTGTTATGTACTACAAACTTGTACCAATTAAAAAAAAAGATGAAAGAGAGCAGGAAAGAAAAAAGAGAGAAAGTGAAAAAAAAAAAACAGAATTAAGATGTGTTACGTACATGTACCAACTATCCACAGTGAATCTAATCATTACGTACTGCACATATGTACTAATAAAAATAAAATGTAAAAATTGTATATATTAATAGAATACCATATAATATTTCTGTACATGTATACATTATGAAATATTTAAATCAGGTTAGAACACATCCATCTCTTCAAACATTTATCATTTCTTTATGGTGGAACAGTCAAACTTCCAGCTTTTTGAAATGTGAAGTATACTGTCTTTATGTATAGTCATCCTACTGAGCAATGTTATTTATTCATAATTCTTTTTTTTACAACATTTGAAGTTTTCCTATGTGCCAGACACTAAGAACAGAAGTGAATAAGTCACTGCCCTGCCTATTCACAGTTCAGCAAAGAGACAGACATGCAAGCAGATAAGCACTTTACTTTCTTTCTGGTACATGGGATCAAAGTCAGGACCTTGTGCTTGCCAGGCAGGCCAGCGAGCTACTTCTCTGGCAAAATAAGCAGTTTGAATAGACCTCCAATTCAGGACTGATTTTGTATTCCATCTCAGTGAAGCATAATTTTCAAGAGACCAGGGAATTACTGAACTTATGCCTTTGCAGAACTTTGAGCAGCTGATGGGCTTGAGAAAATATTAATATTAAGCTTAGTAAATCTTCCCCCAAAGTGAGCTTAAAAAAGAGACAACTCTGGTGAGGTATTTTATAAAGGATTTAATGTGAATGCTTTTAAGGAATGCATTGATGCAAACGGAAATGAGTGTGGAGGCTAGTGTTGCTGTAAGCTCAACTTTAGTTCTAGCAGGCTTTGGGGTTAGTATTTGGATTAGCTCTAGGCCATCATCAGAAGCTCTGTTCATTTTGGAACTCTCTGTGCCTCTTAGGAATATTTTGGTCTGATACCAAATATGTACTGCAGGCCAAAACTCATCATCACAGAGCTGCCTGTGATGGTGCTTATTTATATCTACCAGGGCTCCCTGGGAAATCATAGTTTTTTAGAATATGGTTGCATTTTTTTAATGACTTGGAAGAGCAAATATAATTTGTATTTCTCATCAGTTGACTTATTTTCTTCTCTGAATTCTACATTCATCCTTTTTTAGTCTCAATATTTAATTAAGATGTACTCTTACTTATTACACACATTTTGACTTTAAGAAATCTCTCAGCCTAGTGCGGTGCCACATGCCTATAATCCCAGCAGTAAGGAGGCTGAGTCAGGAGGATCGCACGAGTTCTAGACCAGCCTGGGCTACATTGTAAGTTCCAGGTCAGTCACAACTACATAGTGAGATCCTGTCTCAAAAAACAACAACAAAAAAAGAAATCTCTCAGTGTGATCTGGTAGTTTCAGTTTTGGTCATTGAATGTAATGGAATTGTTTTAAAGATCCATTCAAACAATGGATTATTTTATTTTATTTTATTTTTTTGGTACCAGGGATTGAACTCGGGATCTTGTGCTTGTGAGGCAGGCAGCAGAACCACTGAGCTAAATCCCTGGCCCCAATGGATTATTTTAAAGAATTGTTTTAAAAAATGGACAAATATCATATTTTTGACTATGGGGGCCAGGCATGGGACATTTGGCTTCATTTTCTTTAATAATGAATGTGTATTTCTTTGTGTTCCAATGGAAGTGACAGCAATTAAGAGAAGTTATGCTTAGACTTTCAATCTTAAACAGTTGCATTTGCTTGCACATTGCTCTGTTTGGATAGGTAGATGGTAAGTGTAAGGGAGGCTCTGGTTGAGTTAATGC